CATGCGTATTATTCAAATTCAACTAGTGCATGGTCTATCATCAATGTTGCGTTCTGATTGGATAAGCTACTACGAGGGTATAAGTTATATTACTAATAGTAGCGAAAAGTGCCGGCTTTCAAAACCTTTTTGCATCTATATATTTGAAGGACCAGTTGGATTTGACTAAAACAATTAGTCCTCTCGCCCTCATGGCCTTTGAGTGAATAGCTCATTCGGGCTCGAACACTAATATACCCTTTTCGAGTTCCAAATAGGCCCTTTGCAGTTGACGGTCACGTGTCTGTTCTGGTGAGCATTTTTTAAATTTCATTTTAAATTGGTGATTCTTTTAAGCTATTTGTAAAGAACTGAATGAAACGATGTGTAACCGGTGTGTTACGAAATGTAGTTTTATTTTACGATCTCTAGAAACAGGTTGTAGAAAAATTGGTTTGCTCACCAGTATATTTCACCCATGGGAATCAAGATGTTTATTCATTTGCTCTCAGTGAATTAATCAGCACGTGATTACTGAGCTGCAAAGGGCCTATTACCGCTGTGTTTCTTGATTACAGACTCATTTACTCAGGCTTAGCCTCGAGCCAGTGTCTAAATATTCACAAATACCAATGGTAAAGTAAAGAATGCACAACTTCAACAATACGAACACTTTGAAACTTGACGGACCTTGACTGGGACACGTGAATAATTTTCACGAAATCGAGGCTAACCCTGTGTAAATGAGTCTGTAATCAAGAAACACAGCGGTAATTTGGAATTCGAAAAGGGTCTATTGCTACATAATGATTATGGCGCTAGTGTGTAGTCCTAATTTTTCTTGTCAATTTGTYTTAGGTTCTTCTTTACGACCCTCTTTACTCATGGTCCCTGAGCCCGGAGAAGAAAATGGCCCTTCAAGCAATGAACGAGCAAGACACCTCGGACGTTATGACCACAGGGATCCCAACAGGGAGTTTMCTTGAGACGAGTAATGACGGTTGCACTTCAGACACAGGAAACAAGATGGCTGAAAGAGCTTTGTTAAGGCTGAGGCAGAAACTGAATGGYATAGARGAAAATGTACAGCTGAGTGTCTGTGGTCARGTCAGCCATTTGATTCGAGAAGCCATGGATCCTAACAATCTTTGCAGATTATTTYCAGGATGGCAGCCTTGGCTGTGATTAAAACACTTTAGAAACCCTTGAGGAAAAAAATACTCAGATAAGAAACTTACCCCTTACCCAACGGGGTATATTGGCAGATGTTTAAAGAGTTCAAGGATCTTATAGCCTTTCAACAGGATGGTATGTTGACGCACCTTGAATATGTTAAGGAGGACATGATTCTTAACCAACGGGGCGTACGGTATGACATAAACCTTTCTTGAGCTAGTGAACATGGTGCGTTGTGGTCTAGCTTGGTTAAGAGTATCTTTAGATCGCCATGTCTTATATGTTCGTACCCAAGCTAGACCAGAATGCACATTGKTTTTCAAACTCAGAGAAAGTCTATTCTTCACCAATCCCTACAAACACAGTCATAGTGGTGCACGTTTCTCGTGCGACAACCATGTTTATTTCTAATGGATTATTATTATTGAGAATATTTAATA